ATTGTACACTTAGTGGGTGGTGGTGGGGATAGAAATGAACTTAGGTTTTTTTCTTTCTTTTTTTCGTTTTTTTTTTTTCTTTTTCTTTTTTTTTTGGTAACGTTCATTTATAGTACACGTCTTTTGTGTGTATGTCCAGAATTCACTGCAGAGGTGACACACATCTCAAAAGCACCGTGAGCTTCTGTAGTTCAACAATGGTAAGGCTCTTCACTACAGCACACAGAAAGTGAGTGGTTGGCGGGTGCTCTTGTGTGGTTTGCTTCTTCTTTCCTATCAAAAATCTATCGCACTTATCTCCCCTCCTTCTTTTTTATGCTTGTTACTCTCTTGCAACACCTCTAATCTTCTGGCGTTCATTTGACCTAATGCAGTTGCGAGCGCCGTAAAACCTCTACTAAAACAAACAAAGCACACAGAAAACACAAATTCGATTCCAAAGTGGAGACACCCTCCGGGGCGGTGCCACTGACTGAAGTGTCTTGAGGCCATTTCTCGTTCATGCACAGTAGAATTGTAAAATGGGCTGATTCATCAGTGCCACGCTCATAAATGTGCCTGATCTGCAACAGGGAACTGCTGCTTTTTCTTTCCTAATCCTTACTATTATCTTTTTTTTCCTCTACTTCTTTTGTATATTTGTCACATTCTTGTGACCTGCTATTTCCCGGGTGCCTTGATAGTTGAAGCAGACTTTGCGCTGTTGAAGCTAGAGAGGTGAGCAGAGTAAGTCTGATTCCCTGTAAGGACTTCTCTGTTGAGATCCACCCCTTGGCGCTCATATGACCGTATGAGAGTTGCGAGCGCCGTAAAACCTCTGCTAAAACTTTAAAAAAACATCTCAAAGTCGATGCCCCCCCCCCCCTGGTCGTGTCTCTAGTTCTGTGTCCGGGCTACGTGATATATAGTTGACTGTGTGACGTGATAGATAGCTGACTGTGTAACGTGATAGATAGTTGACCGTGTGACGTGATAGATAGTTGACCGTGTGATATTTGACTGTGTGACGTGATAGATAGTTGACCATGTGACGTGATAGATAGTTGACCGTGTGATATTTGACTGTGTGACGTGATAGATAGTTGACCGTGTGACGTGATAGCTAGTTGACTGTGCGATAGTTGACGCCCGTTTGTTCGTGTCTCTAGTTCTGTGTCCGGGCTACGTGATAGATAGTTGACTGTGTGGCGGCTGGGCTCAGGCGTCGGTGTATATCGTCTGGGTCAGAGGCAAGGGCCCGGGGTAGACAGGCAGTCATCACGTGACCTCCATTCTAACAAACAACAACCGCCACCACCAGAAGCAACATCCGCGATCGATAAATAAACGAAGACAACAACAACAATTTCTTGTCTTAAAGCCACGTTTGATGTGAGTTTTATACTTAAACGATTGTTAAACAGACATTAATAACAAACGAGGATTTTCTGCTTGGCTGTTCAAAGTTATTCGGGTAAACGTCTTACGAAATTTCTCATTGAGCTGCGCTGCTCGCGGACACAAAGGACCGAATACGATATTCTCTGCGATGATTTTTGGCCTTTTGAGCGTAAACATGATTCTATCAAACATAGCATCAAAACTGAAACTCTTTCTTTACGATTCTCAGCTCTTCTCATACAACCCCTTCAGGCATTTGCGTCTATGCTCTACACGGCACTTACACGTTTGTTCATAATGACTCCTCTAATTCCTAAAGGGAATAACTTCAAATGTGAGGCAGCGTGGATGAATCAGGCTCTCGTCAAAATTATCAAAGTGAAGAAATTTGCTTTTTTCTTTTGGTTTGTGAATTTGTATCAAATTTTTGTTTTGGGGCTCAACACCTTTTATCACCATTCAAGAAGTCAGTTCTGTGTGGGTTTTTCTTTAAAAAGTTGATTAAAAAATGTAAATTTTCAGTTACTACGGACTCTTAGGCTAAGGAAATAAGCAATCTTTTGCGGCCATTTTCTCACTAATTTTACCTCTGAAAACAGGTAACCCTCACCCCCTTCATTCGCAAATATCTCGACTTGTATTCAAGATAAACGGATATTTTTTTTCACCCAAATGAAGACAAGTGAACAAGCTTTAAGATGATACCAATAACTGTACATGCCCAAAAATTGACGAGAGCCTGATTCCACCACGCTGCCTCACAAATGTTACGAGCTGAAATTTCTTTTATGACAATGAAGCGACGGAGGGTTTATCTGACGTAAATGTTGTTTTGTTTGTTTTTTTATTCCAAAACCAGTGCCACTAGCGATTTGCTTAGCCAATCAAATCCTGATCTTAAAAAGAAAGACACGTGTAATCTTGTCTTAAACAAATCAATGCGAACAAAAGGTTAAGCGATTTAACGAATCGATATTTAGGCCATAATGGCCTATCTTTTTTAATGGTTTAGGAGGTTGGATGATGTCAGTCTCCACTCTCCATTGCAGGGGCCACATATTCGTGGCTCGCAGGTCTATTGAGGCTCACCGGACGATGTTAGATCGCTTTTAAGCACAGGGCGGCTATCCCGAAAAAAGCTGTTTTGAGAAAATCGAAGGTAAAGTATTTGCCCCTTGATCAGTTTCTTTAAAAGACAAGGCGAGTTTTCTCTATAACCAAACAAATATACACACCAAAGAAAGCAAACTTCTCATATAGGTAGGGCAATACCCATTTTTTGGTGTAGGTCAAGATTTCTGGAAATTCTCGAAAATTGGGTTAGCCCGCTTGTCCTTAAAAGCGACCATTTTAGCGGTCCCTACTTGATTTAAAACGATACCAGACCATTGAGGAGGGCTTGTTCTAATTAAGGAAGGATGTGAGGCAGGAGAGCCAGGGGAAGACAAAGAGTAATATGGATGGACAACATTAAAACATGGACTGGCCGGGGTATAGCAGAATGTGCAACCGCAGCTCACGACCGTGAAGGATGGAGGGTCATTACACGTCAACCTCTGAGTCAGAGATGAGATCTCCAGATCTACTTGGAATCAAAGTTTACTCTTACTACAGACCTTCCTCAAACCACATGTGGCTGAGCTATGTATGGGTTAGAGGTCGTGTTCCCAGGTCTCTAACAGCCAGGAGTAGGTTGGAAAACAAGTCTATGTTCTGGAGGAAAATACGTTCATGTCCTGAGCAGATATAAATATATA